ATAATAATAAAAAAGTTAAAAGCGATTGTTCATATAGAAAACAAAAGAAATAAGAGAAGTTTTTACACTAGAAAGATTCGATAACGATTTATCAGTTATGCGATAACAACATATGGTATTTTGACAAATCAAAACAGATGCTTTTTAGCTTTTTTTATCGTTACCGTTGAACTATAAACAGGGATCGTCTTATATGCACGACATTCAAATTTCAGATTTTTATAATCATGTCCGTCTTATGTGCGGAACACGCGAACTTACTACTGTAATGAAGCAACTAAATGTATTATGAATTAACGCACTTTTAAATACAGGGAAATACGATTTTGTTGGTGAAGATTTAAAAACTGTGGTAAGTGGTATTATTTTGAAGATCACCCTTGCATTTGGCTCCATTTAGCCAGCTAGATGCAGTATCAAGGCCACAAAAAATTAGGAATTCCCCCGACATACAAATATCAACCAAAAATTTTCTAAAACTCGGGGTCTTCTTATACACGGGTCGCATTATACGCGAGTATATACGGAAGCGCCTATAAGTGCCATCCTACTTGACGACTTGTCAAGATTAATTATCTTGTCAAGTCGACATAATATACATATCATGATGTCGACATGCACAGATAAGTTTTCCTGCCATGTCGACTTATCAAATTTTAAAAGTTGCCATGGTGAGATACATTACCGTATCTTGCCAAGTTGACTATAATTTATATCGTCATGGCGATATAAATTATCTTGCCAAGTTGACATAGTAAAAATTAGATGTTGTCATGGCGATATAGATCATCTTGCCAAGTCGACATAGTAAAAACTATATGTTGTCATGGCGATATAGACAACATATACCAGGAAAAAAAGAAAAAAAATGATAGCCCAGAACGCCTTAAATGTTATTTTCGGGCGACTGCACACAAACATTTCGCGGGGCACGCCCCCAGACCCCTTAGGATAGTGTTGTCTCGATCGGCCCAACTTTCGGCCAACCCCCCACCCCCCTTTTGGACATCACTTGATCCGCCCCTGATGTGCACGGGGACGGCTTAGAAATAAGCAATATCAAATACTACAGGCCATAAATAGAATTAATAGCGTAAGAATCGATCACTTTCCGTGGTCCTATTCTTTTTAATGTGTGTTTCAAACTCGCACAAAAAAAAAAAAAAAAAAAAAAAAAAAAAAAAAGATCTGTAGGTTTGTCAAAGCAACTCAGGAGAAGGAAAATCTTTATCACATATGAAAAAAAACCTATAATGATTGCAGAGTCACGGTGCGTGGTATAAGAAGCCTATTATTAAAGCATAGAGGTTAACAACTAAACCTACGTTATTTCGCAATACGACTTGTGGGTTTTATCGTCAGTAACATTTGTACTTAGTTGAATCAAAGAACTGTGCTCTTAAAAATACATTCCGATTGTTCTACAAATGATGTAAATCATGCATGCCTCTGTCGCACATAATATACACATCATGTCGACATATACAGATACGTTTTCCTGCCATGTCGACTTATCAACTTTTAAAAGTTGCCATGGTGACATACATTTCCGATTGTCCTACAAATGATGTAAATCATGCATGTCTCTGTGCCGCGTTGTTCTGATCAATAGCATTCTTTTGAAGCCATACAGTCTGTTCTATTTTCTCTATGGTCTAAGTAAGTGCCCTCCTAATTGACGACTTGTCAAGATTAATTATCTTGTCATGTCGACATAATATACATATGTCGACATGCACAGATAAGTTTTCCTGCCATGTCGACTTTTAAAAGTTGCCATGGTGAGATACATTATCTTGCCAAGTTGACTTCCATAAAAGCACGTCATTATGGCAATATAGATTATCTTGCCAAGTTGAGATAGTAAAAAGTCATATGTTGTCATAGCGATGTAGATTATCTTGCCAAGTCGATATAGTAAACATTATATATTGTCATGACGATATAGATTATCTTGCCAAGTTGACATAGTAAAAATTATATGTTGTCATGGTGATATAGATGCCAAGTCGACGTAGTAAAATTATATGTTGTCATGGCTTCCGTAGGGGATTTGGAGAATGGTTGATAAACTTTATGCAGAGCTTAATGGTATAGTTAGACTCGAAGATACAGACACAACATTTTTTAGATTGAACAAGGAGTAAAGCAAGGCTGCGTCTTGTCTCCAATTTTGTTTAACATCTTTATGAATGAATTTTAAAAGATTCTTTTTTCAAATGATCTTAGTACTCGATGAACAGTTGGAGGCGCTAATTCGCAAAATATGATGATTTTAGGTGATTTTTAACTCCTTAACAGAGGTTTTTTCTGGGGGAAACTGGAGGGGCGCACGCCCCCGCCCTTCCCTAGTTATGCCACTGCTGGTGTCTGATGATGTTGTCTTATTAGTAAATAATCAGCATGAAATGACAAAGATGCTCAATCTCAACATTATTTGCTAAAACATGGAAATTAAATTTTAATTTAGACAAAATAATATTCTAATTTTTGGAAAAAGAATTGATAAAGAAAAACAATTAGGTAATTGTTTCATTGTTGAAGCGGAGACATGCAATTATCTTGGAGTTCAGGAAACTAAAAGATTTGTACAATTCCAGAATGCGTTTATTGCAATTTTCACTTTATCCTCTTAAAACAGTCCTAAAAAAACGTTCAGAGTGCACTACTTTACGGGGGGATTCACCCGTTTGCAGGAGGCATACGTATCTCGTATAACGCTTCCCCCCCCCCACCCTTTCATACTCCTGGCTACGTCCCTGCATTAGGACAATGTTTAAATCCATACTATCCTATCCTTACACTTTTACATTGATTGTACGTTAGGCCCTACCAGAGAGGTACATTCCCAATGGTTGTCCACTTCTATCGCATGATACAGTGCATAACAAACGTTACGTAACCACTACTACTACTAATAATAATACTTGTCGAGTTATCGTCGCCAACACATAGGCCTAATACTATCTTCTTTGTCACTTGGTTTCATTAATATCAGTTGATCCGTTTTCGAAATATGTGATCTGGGACGTATTCCTTTAAATGGTCCTCAGATCACATCATACTGCGGATTGTCACACTAATCATTTTTTTACAAGACCTTTACAAAGTATTATATAATGTTTGATTTAGACCCACTGTTTTTTTTTAAAGAGATCTTTAGGTGTGGGTCCTCAAAAATTGAACAGACCCTCAAATTTACACCCTTCACTAGATCGTCACTAACACATACAAATTTCTTTCTTGTAACAATGAATAAACTTTCCCGTAATTTCATTCAGATCAACTGACCGGATTTTGAAATATCCCGTGTAGACTCTTTGAACTTAAATCACTTTAAGTGGTCCTAACACACCCCACTATAGATTGACACTAAATATTAGGAGGCACATCCTTCATATGACCTATGCTTCGAGAAAGCACGGAAAATTTTTAAGGATGGGAAGTGACGGCCAGAATAAAACAGTGCAAAAAGATAGGGAAAATATATGTAAGAGAAAAAATCAGAACAAACAATGATTTTTCCAAGTACTGCTGGGAAAAGCCAATAAATAAACCCTAGGTAATATGCAGGGGCGGATTTAGGGGGGAGGGGCGGCCCGGCTCCGCCCCACCCCCTTTTTGAAGGTAAGGAAAAGATAGAAAAAAAAAGCGCCTCAAATGTTATTTTCGGGCGTCTAGAACATATTTCACGGGGGAATGCCCCAGACCCCCTAGGGAAAGTGTTGTCTCGATCGGCCCAACATTCGCCCCTCCCCCCCTCCATTTTTGACATCTCTCGATCCGCCCCTGATGTGAATGGGGACGGTTTGAAAGCAAGATCAAATACCATAGGCCTTAAGTAGAATAAATAGCGGAAGAATCGATCACTCTGTGCTTTCCGTGGTCCTGTTCTTCACTGTGTATTTCAAACTCGCACAAAAAAAACCCAGTAGGTTTGTCAAAGCAACTCAGGGGAAGTAAAAACTTATAAACTCATAAATATGAAAAAAACAATACAAAACAAAAACAAAACTATATCATCGGAGAGTCACGGTGCGTGGTATAAGAAGCCCATTGTTAAATCTTAGAGGTTAACAAATAAATCTACGTTATTTCGCAATACGACTAGTGGGTTTTATCTTCAGTAACATTAATTTATACTTAGTTGAAGCAAAGAACAGTGCTCTTAAGAATACATTTCCGATTGTCCTACAAAATGATGCAAATCATGCATGTCTCTGTACCGCTATGTTCTGCCTCGTTTGTTCTGATCAATAGCCTTCTTTTGAAGCCATACAGTAAGCACTACACCGACGTCTGTGCCACCAAGTCCCGTCTCTGTCACTGTGATTCGTCAATAGCATTTATTAAAAGTTGGTGTACCATAAAATACTGAAAACGTTTTGTAATTTTAAAAATAATGTCTAAACTCTGAGCGTATAGCTTTTACTGTGATCAATTACATTGGTAAAGCGACCCACCAAAGTTGACTGACGACTGTTGAACTGATGACACCAGCTGATCACTTGTTGCGTACAATTAAAAGTATAATTTGAAATTGTCAAAAAATCCCTTTCAAAATGACCTATCTTAGAGGAAAGGATTTCACCCAGATGTATAACGATTGCTTTCAACATACCGGAGATTATCTTTAGCCCGTGATCAACTCTAAAATATATTGGCCCTTTAAACAAATTAATATATATATATACTGTCTCTTATACACATCTAGATGTGTATAAGAGACAGCCATTAGACTTGACGACAAGACAGT